GGTATATCTTTTGCGAGTCTTAACAACTGCATTGATGTTATGTAGAAACCAGAATGTTGCTTTAGGATTTGGTACTGATAAAAAAAAAGATATTAACAAATAATACATTGGATGAAATATAAGCAACAATAAAAAATTTTCAAGTATCATTTGATATTGACCAAATCTCAAGAAAAATAAACTGTAGAAAAGAATTTCAAACTTTATTGCTAACCAATGGAGAAATTTTTTCATAATATATTTAACTATTGTTTTATGAAAATATCTTCTGAAAATTAATCATCAAATATTAATTAATTTTGTTAAAATATGTCAAATATTAGTATACTAAATTGTAAGATGAAAATTATTAAATGAAACTTATAAAAAACTAATAACAAGGATTAAATTAATTAAGCAAAAATATAATAAAAAAAAAATTACATCAAACCTTTATTTTTCTTTATATCTGTATAAATACTAGTGATGAAAGCTGACAAAAATTTATTGATCAGCCTGGCTGATACAAAATTTTCAGTCCAGTTAGCCTTTAGTCGATTATTTTAATTTTAGTAAAATTATTTTAGTAATATATACATATACAATATTATTTTATTAATTTTTATTAAACACCAAATAAAATATTACTTTTTAAAAAAATTTTATTACATCAATTCTCTAATGTTATAATATCATTTAAACAAATGTATTTAAGAGATAATAAAAAAACATATTGAATATATGTTAATATTTTATTTTTATTATTTAATAGAATATTATTATTATTTTTTTTTTTTTGAAGGGCTAAGTTGCGATACACGCATGGATTTTATTGTTGGATCAATTAAGATTACAATTACCATATATGAACAGTCTATTAACTATTGCTAATATTAACTCACGCTACTCATTCTTTTTACCAGAATACCAACTTACACCAAGTAGGTGGGTCCATACCCTGATTTATGCTTATGACTCCCTATTTATAAATATAAGATAAGGAAAATCCTGTGCCAATAGTGAAAAACCTTCCTAGCGGTCTCCTTTTTGGCTTATGACCCGACTCAACCACATCAATTGGGTCACCAATCCGGATTGCACCAATATCAGATAGGGAGGTGGAGGTCCAATCGAATTTCGGAGTCTGCCGATCCAGTTTTGGGGTACTAGCTAATTAAGTATGACCTATATCAAGAAACTAGCCAACCTGAATAGGAAGGATGGTGATACGGAGTCTGCCGTTCCAGTTTGGATTGTGGGCTTATACCGGAGTTAGACCAGAAGCCTTGCCTCGTGCAATCTTTCCTGCTTCGACCTTGTTTCAGCCAGTGATCGTCAGAAAGACCAGAGGTCCTATCTTCGTGCAGCCTAGCTTTAATTTGATAGATGATTTTCGGCTGATTGGATACGACATGTATTGGAAGCCGATCAACCAATCATGAAGGTGATAAATTTTTGTAACCAGGTGAATTTGAATCCTAGACCTTCTCCTGGTGACCTATGGAGCATTACCACTATGCTATAGACCCATAGGTCATAATAGAATATTATTTTTACCCAATATTAACAACTAATATCTATATAATAACTATTATAATCACATATTTATGTCTGAATACACATCAAACAGTTTTGAATTATGTTTCAAAAAAAGAATATTGTGAACATAAGTTAGGCTTAGCCTATTGCATTTTTCAGTAATTATATTTCTGGCATTTGAAAATAATCACTCAGATGAAACTGACGAAGCAGGTATTGCAAGATATTTACAAGCTTGTTTTGCATGGCTGGGTAGTGTCTTATAGTACAACTTTCACCAATTAAGTGGATTTTCTGTTTTATATAATGAATCATTGAATGGATAAATTGGGATTGGTAATATTGTAGAATATAATTGCATTTCATTTTGTATGGAGAAAACACTATTGTCATCTATATCATCAAAGAAACTGTTTCGATTTAAATTTATTTGCATCATAAGTATTATATTTGCTGGATTATCTGTTTCCATAATTTGTTATACTTCCATTATAATGCTTGCTTGTTCCTCAGCAGTTAAGAATTTCAGTTTTTTGAAGCGAGGGTTGAAGTATAAGGCAAAAGATCCCATCAACAAAGTATTCTGCCAGCGTATATTTATCTGCTCATTAATACAGTCTCTCACTCTTGTTACAATGTTATGTTGAGATATAAATTGAGCAAGATGATTTTTGATTTTGTTTATAGCAGGATACATCATAGATAGTGTCGAATAATGGCTTCCGTCAATAATGTCTGTAACTTGAACAAATGGCTTCAACAACTTTAATAAACTACTTAACACTAACCATTTATTATTACTTAATAAAAGATTTTCCAAATTATTTCTATCATTTCGAACCAAATATTCAGCATCATTTTTGAGAACAGCAGCCAGGGAATGCACAGAATTACAGAGTGTATAAAGGCATTGCAAGACAAGATAAGTTGAGTTCCATCTAGTTTTGATATCAGTAATAGATTCAAGAATTTTTGTTTGTAAATTATTATCGATCATTAACTGTTGCACACGTCGTAGTGTTTCACGGTATTTATCATGATTCACAAGATCATTATTTAATGCTATTGCCTTAGCCATGAATTCATGACATTCTTTTAGCCTTTCGTTTATTGCAAGTTGTAGTGTATGTGCACAACAGGTTATATGTTGAATGTTGAGTTGTTGTAAGGCAGCTTTCATATTGGCGGCATTATTACTTATTCCTGCAATAACTTTATCACTTATACACCACTTCTCAAATAACATACAAAGGAATTCAGCAATTCTGGTAGCAGAGTGTCCATAAGAAAATTCTTTTATAGTTAAGAGTCCTTGCTGTAACTCAAACTCAGGAGTAATCCAGTGAACTGTTATACTGATATATGATATGTGAAATTGTGTCCAAAGATCTGTTGTAAAACTACATGTTTTCATTGAATTTTTGATTTCATTTTGTAGATGTTTTTCAGTAAACACGACACATTCATGTAGTTTCTTCTTTATAGTACTTATACAGGATACAGAGTATTGTTTATTCAAAGATTCACACAAACTTATGAATATTGGTGTGTTGATAATATTAATCGGTTGTAAATCTTCAACTATCCACTGTAGCAACCTGGTCGTAATATGACGATACTGAATATCAGTTGATTTGTATGGTTTTGTCATATTGATACAATTTTCTATTGTCTGTTGGTTTTTATTTGAGACTACCTTTTTCATGGTTTCTTCAGAATTGTATACTGACATTATTCGGTGTACCTTGCTCAGATGGTTTCCGATATTTGTTGTGGAGCATGATGATTTGAACCAACTTCCGCATGGAACACTTTGACCATTCTTAACAACTAATACTTGACAATATCTATAACCATCAATGATGTTTTTACCTACATAATCCCATATCCAGCTACTGTTATGATCTCTGCGTTGCACATGTTTTATTGTCTGCAATACTTAGAAAAGGGGTTGGTAATCTGAATATGAGGTAGATAGGAGACTTGTGGATGGTGAAGAACTTGACAAGTGTAGAGGTGATAATATAGATGGTATTAAATATTCTTCATTATTATTATGGGAAGTGGAAGAAGAAAGAGATTCATATAATGGTGTGGATTGTGTGGATACAGTTTGTCGATGTCTAGTGGTTGTAATATTATGAATGTTTAGGTCATATTCTATAAATCGTCTCAGTCTGCTTTTTCGTTGACTTGATATAACTGCGTTTAATTAAACATGTATGTATGTGCAATTTTACATATATGTATGCTTTGTTATTTTTTTTTCTGATCGGCTTTCATCTTTTTATATATTTTAGTTAGGACAACTTTTACATTCTAAAAATATGGCAACATCGATTATCTAATGTCTTCTTAAGATTCTTTCTAATTATATAATGTTCGGGCACAATAGTTTACATTATTTAATCATCTCTCATGATTCTTTCCTTATTACCTAATTTCTTAATATGCTATTCTATTACTATTTTAATTATTTCCTACCACTTATGCTTAAGTACCATGATCGGAACGGGTCCTTCGCAGCACGATTATGATGGTTAGTCACGTGACTGGTGTCGCGTCATAATTTTATCCTGACACTTCCTCCACGCTTATCTTATGTGTACCACATATAGGGTTTTTAATACAGTGGATCGACTATAACAGTCTGTCAGCAAGTGCCGGTTGTTGATAAGAGGTTAGGTCATCGATCATCTTATTTTTCCATTTGTGTTTGATCCTTAGATACGTCAAGCTGGTGATCTCTCAAAATCGTAGTGTTACATCATAGTCTAGTTGCTTACTTTACTTCAATTGACCAGATGATGTCGGACTGTGATGGTGCAGGTGTCATATTGATGGTGTTCGATTTCCAGTCTATGCACGTGTATTATGACCTTCATTAGTCACATTGTTTTGGTTTCTTAGTCACTTCAGATTTTTTGTCACCATCACCTCCGAATTTGGGAATTCCTTGACAAGCCTATTTCCTTCATTGTATGCTGAGTGTCTTCAAGATCAGGTTTATTGTTAACAAGTTTCTTTTGCACAATGGCGTATTTTCCTCCTTGATCACGATTATTCGTGATGGTTGGTCGCTCTTTTTTGTCACAGGGTCTGCTCTTATAAGTATTGTCTTTTCTTCGAGACATTCTCCAGTGTTACCTTCTCCCTCGTTAACATTGTTGTTTCTCTTATTTTCTGTCATTAGGGTTTCGTCATTGTCGAGGAGTTTCTCCAGATCCTTGCTTGGGTGGCCGGTCATTATTTCCTCTAGGTATTCAGTATTTCTACAGGGATGTTGCTGCAACCTATGCTCTTATCGTTCTTCTTGTTGCTCGTGATTCATTGCTATTTCATACTCTTCTATGCTTATGTCTTCCAGAATTTCACTTGGATAATCATCTGTTGTTTCTTCCGAGGATTCACTTTCTTTTCACAGGTTGCGATCCATTTCTTTATTACAATGTTCTTCAGGGTTCGCAGTGTACGAGTCCTTCGACAAATGTCCCAATTCTCTATTCTCGTCAAGTTGCGTTCCTTCTGTCCCAAACGACTCTTGGGAAAACTTGTCCTCCTTTGGACAATCTTCGGCATTATGACCTCTCTTTCTTGAGTCTCCACAACCCAAATCCTTTCCCGACGGCATTTCCAGTTCATTTACGCTTTATTTAGCGAGGATGGCAGATTTGTTTTACTTCGTCCCTAATCCTCGTACTTGCTTCATTAGTCCTTGGATGTGGGCTTCTAACTCTCTTGCTTGTTTAATCTTTACTGCTTCTTTGAGCACTTCTCCCGGCATGATCACATTCCCGACAGTTGGTTACATTAGTATATCTTCCCTTAGTCCAAGTACTAGCAACCAACGTGCCGCTTCTTTGGCGTAATCACCCTTTGGATGAAGCTTCTTGAGTAGCTTTGCAAACCTATAGGTATACTCCATCACCTTTTTATTCTTGCCTTGCTAAATGATTTCTATTTCTTCTTGCCATCGATGACATTGCTCCAGCATTTCAAAATGCTGTACAAACATCGGTACAAAGCTTTTTCTGTCGTCACATTTGTCCCAATAGACGAACTGGTCTCATACCACTCCTTGACATTCCCTTCTAAGTAGTGACTTATTCCTCACTACTTCGCCAACCATAGAATTCAGCAGCCTTTTTGCTTTAATCACTCTCATGGGCTCTCTTTAGCTTTTCCCTCAAACCCACATAGTTTGACCCGTCAGACTTTTTCTTCTTGCTTTTTCGGTCCTGTATTTAGGTTTTCTTTATTATTAAGGGTCCGCGCTACTTCTTGCAAGGTGACAAGCTGCTGGAGGAGTCTGGTAATTGTGTCATCATCTATTTGAAAATTCATTGTTGTTTTATAAGGTTATCAGGTAAGTTAATGATATTTGCACTGTTTAACTAATTCAGGGTTCCAGATCTTGAGCTGCGCCTAGGTCGGGTCATTATACCGCATGTTTAAAGGTTAGGGAAAAATAAAAGAAAGTAAAAATTAGAAAGTTGGGTGGTAGAATGCAAAAAGATTCTAATGAATGGTTGTGTTTTTTATAATAGGGGTTGGGAAAAGTGTTGAAAAAAAAAGGTGTTCACGTGAAAATATCAAGGGGGGAAAAAAAAAATAAATAAAATAAATGAACAACGTTTTATCCACTATTTTACAGTCACCACCAAATTTGTGATAGTCGTTTGGCAAGTCTATCGCTAAAGTGGAGCAGAGTAAAATTTTATCAGCTTAGTCGACTGGCTAAGTATACTTATATAGTAAAATTTTCATTGGCCTGGGTCAGCCATAAATCATTTCAGCCAGCCAAGCCAACCATAACAGCCAGGCCAGTTTAGTTACAATTGACTTCTGTCACTATTAAAATTATATATTGTTTTTATTATTAATAAAATTATAATAAATCTCTATATATTTTGTAATATAATAGATTATTTTTATAATTGTTTTCAATTTTATTTAATAAATTTATTACATATTTGGAAAATTTAAAGCTGTTTTATTTTTTGTTAATATACTTAATTATATACAATATGGTTTAAAAAATTTTAGAATTTTTTATTTATTAATTATTCAAAAATTACTACATTGAAATTAATAAAAAATATATCAAAATAAAGTTAAAAATCTAGAAATGTTATTAATATATAATTAATAATTAATTCTTTTACCATTATATTTAATTATTACTTCACCTTTCTCTTTTATTGAATTTATAAAATTTTTTAAAACCTTATTTAAAATTTTATCCCATTCTTCTATTATAAATTATTCTAATTTTAAAATATTTTTTGATAATATTATTTTTACATTTTTTTTAGTAATAGCTCAAAGATTTTTAATAAGATTTAAATCTAAATTATTAGAAGGCTTATCAATAATTTTAAAAAAAAAATTATTTAAAAATATTTTAGCAATTTTACTTATATGCTTGGAATTATTATCTTATTAAAAGTACTAATTGTTTACAAATAGTTTATTAATTTCTTGTTTATGATTTTACATAATATTGATATAAAATTTTGCATCTGTAATTTTTTTAAAATAAAAAAGAAAGTTTTTTTTTTGTATAAAATTTTCCTATGCAAAGATTTTAATACAATTTTTAGATATATTTTTAACTGGTCTTATATTTGTTATCATTAAGTAATTGTATTTCTGAATAGTTGAAATGTTGTTTTATTAGAAAATAATATTTTTTTCTAATTATCATCAAGATGTTTTTTTGTTCAAATAATATGAGCTTTTTTATAAATAGTAGTAGACATAGGTATTTTCAAAGATAAATTATTTTTGTAAACCAAATTAATCAAATGTATTAAAATTGTTAAATATAAGACTTTGGTATTAATATTTAATAATTTAATTGTCAAAGTTCTTGAGAAAAGTCTTGGATTATGATGTAAATATTGATCAATTGCTTTTAATTCATGTGCTGTAATCTATTTAAGACAACTATTACCTAATTTTCTTGAATTATTACCTTTTGAATTCAATTTTTTGAGATTGTAATAGATAGTTGACATGTTTAAGTCAGTTTTGAAATGTATTTCATATGCAGAAATAATTCTATTATTTCACAAATATAATATAATTTGTTGTTAATTATTTTTTTAGAAGGTAACATTGTAAGAATAAGTTTATACCAAAAATAAAATGATCAAATAATTGTAAGTACCTATATATATTGTTTGGAATATGTTGTTTACATATTTAAAATTTCACATAAATTACTTTTTTTTTTTGAAAAAATTATATGCATTTATAGTATAAATAATATTTCAAATTTTTTTGCACCATACTGTATTTCTTTTGGTTTTTAAGTTCTAACTTTTTATTTAAAATCATACTACATTTATCTTATTCTAAAGTCAAAGTTGTTTTTAAATATGCTAAGCCGGTGTTCTTTTATTTATGTACAATTTAATTTTAAATACAAGTCTATCAACTTTTAATACCAAATGATGAATACCTAATATTTATTTGTTGCCTATCTAAAATAAGCACTATGTACAGTTTTTTTTAATAATTGCCTCAATATTGAATTTATATTTTACTTTATAAGTAGGATTCTTTATGAGAAGTAATGGAGAGAAATTTGATTGGTTTGATATTTTAACTTACAGTATTTCCAAAAAAGAAAAATGAATCTACACAATCATAGTGAATTGATTCTTCTTATTCAATGTGAAACATTCAATTCTTCTGCTTATTGCTAATCTCCTATCATAAACGAAAGGCTTCTCGTCCTATACCATTAATTCAGGAGAATTCACTGTAACCAGAAAACCTTTGATTATATAATAAACAATCAATTTAAGCTTTTAATTATTTGATTTTTGCGACTAGATTCCGGAGAAAGTAATGTGCATACTTTACTTTATATCCATATAACAAACTTAAGAAAATATTAGTTCTTATAGACTTCATTAATTGTTTATAAATACAAGTATTTTTTTATTTTAGCCTACAGTGTTCACTCTAGTCACTTTTTTATTAAGAATAACAAACACCAGATTTAAACTTTGTTAATATTATGATTGAGCCGGGAAAAGTCAAGAGCATACCTTATTTCTATATCTTTACTATAGGCAATAAGTTATTTTATAATTTCTGTCTTGTTTTTTGCGTGTTTTTTTTATTTAATGTCATTTAATTGAAACGATATGTAATTTAAAATTTTATTATCTTTATTGGGATTTGATGCCGGAGGAAAGTTGAGCATTCCTTAATTTTTTATTTTAATATAAAAGCTTACTGTTTTAATTCGTAAAATATGACGTTACTCGTTAACTTTTATCTACTGTAAAAAAATTCGTTAAGTTATTACTATTACTTCTTTCCTATATTTTTCTTTACGGATCTGTAAATTTTAAATTTCTTTATTTGTCGCAATTAAACTCAAGAAAAACCACGAAGTAGCTTCTTCGATAATTGCCTTTTATGTTCTAATAGAAATTCAAGATATGATAATATTTCTGTTGACTGTACTATTAAAATTTTTAAATTAATCGATTCATATTTCCTTTAACTATTAAGATTCTTTATGGTAAATTTGTTTTTATTAGATAGCCTTTTTACAATAAAGCATACGTAAAATATGAAAAGTATGTCTATATTTTAGATTTATCAAGCCAATAATTTGCTTTCTCTTTATTTTTCACGGTTCCAATTCCATCGCGATAACAATATCCAAGATTATTTTGTCCCTCGCTACATCCACCTTCAGCTGATTTCAGATACCACTGAAATGCTTTTTTGTAGTTTTGAGTGGTTCCAATTCCCTTAGAATAACAATTTCCAAGATTGCATTGCCCTTCAGCACTTCCACCTTCAGCAGATTTCAAGTACCAATAAAATGATTTATCGTAATCTTGAGTGGTTCCAGCTCCATCTTTATAACAACATCCAAGATTATTTTGTCCCATATGATTTCCACCTTCAGCAGATTTCAGATACCACAGAAACGCTTTATTGTAGTCTTTAGTGGCACCAATTCCCTTAGAATAACAATAATATCCAAGATTCCATTGCCCTTTGGCATTTCCGCCTTCAGCAGATTTCAAGTACCAATAAAATGATTTATCGTAGTCTTGAGTTGTTCCAACTCCATCCCTATAATAACATCCAAGATTGTTTTGTCCCTCGCTACATCCACCTTCAGCTGATTTCAGATACCACTGAAATGCTTTTTTGTAGTTTTGAGTGGTTCCAATTCCCTTAGAATAACAATTTCCAAGATTGCATTGCCCTTCAGCACTTCCACCTTCAGCAGATTTCAAGTACCAATAAAATGATTTATCGTAATCTTGAGTGGTTCCAGCTCCATCTTTATAACAACATCCAAGATTATTTTGTCCCATATGATTTCCACCTTCAGCAGATTTCAGATACCACAGAAACGCTTTATTGTAGTCTTTAGTGGCACCAATTCCCTTAGAATAACAATAATATCCAAGATTCCATTGCCCTTTGGCATTTCCGCCTTCAGCAGATTTCAAGTACCAATAAAATGATTTATGGTAGTCTTTATAGGTTCCAACTCCCTGCCTATAGCAACATCCAAGACTATTTTGTCCCATATGATTTCCACCTTCAGCAGATTTCAGATACCACTGAAATGCTTTCTTGTAGTCT